ATCTTCACATTTATTTTTTTTCGAGCTTTTGGAATATTTGGAAATGTATCAGCAGTGGGTCCACCGAAACCAGTAAATATTTGAAAGTGGTCTACGAGAAGAAGAGTTTGGGAACCTCTGATGTAAAGTAAAGAGCGCAATGGTTCTGGTAAATGAGTCAACGAAGGTATTTAGGCACTGACCTATAACACACAATCCTTGAGTCTCCTAAAGAGACTTTGACCCAATGTAATATTGACAGACCGTGTGCGGGTGTGTCAAATTTTTGAAAGAAAGCTACTTACAAAACCTTTAATAATTGAATCATGCATATGTATGAACCAGGGTTGTTGCGAATATTCGCATTCGCATTCGCAACCGCGGAGCTTCCGCATTAATTTTAACATTCGCTTTCGCATTCGCATTAATCAATGCGGATCTTTTGCGAATGCGAATATTGAAGGGACCGAAAATAACAGTTATTTTTTTTTACGAGTTAAACTTGGCCGAATAGTTTTTATTCCCAACTAAAAGTCCTTTCCGGATAATAATCAAACCGCTTATCCAAATTAAACAAGTTTGGTATAAAATGAAAGAGGACTTAAATAGCTTTAAAACTGAAATGTCTAAACGAGCAAAGCCACCTATTGAAAAATTTTCAATAAAAAATGTTAATTAATTACCATTAGAACAAACCTTGGGTCAGGTATATGAATTTCTTCTGTATTAAATGATATAAAAAAAATATAAGTAGACGTTCGTACGTTATTTCTGTTTAAAAGCTATTTCAGGCCTCATTCACATGATATAAAATTTGTTTAATTTTGATAAGCTGTTTGTTTATTATCCAAAATATTAGGCCAAGTTTAACTGGTAAAAAATAACTGTTATTTTCGGTCACTGGCACATTGTGCAAGTGCACTGATAAAACGTATATCTGGCCAGTCACAGAAGAAAGGATTAAAAATGAATTAATGAAGAATTTTTTGGAAAACAATGGTGTTTAAACAACGATCTTGCCATGATACTAGATTGTGGAGATGAAAAGAATTATCGCACCGCAATAAAAAAAAACAATAAACATAACTGAATGTCTTCTCGATTGGTGCGGCGTCAATCGAAAAGGATTTATAATTTTGTCAAGTTTCTAGTTTTTCAAGTTTGTCGCCTCGAGCGAGCAGTTATTTAGTGACCCTGATTTTCGACCCTTTAAAAACTTTTTATAAAACACAATGCTCCAATTTTAAAATTCAAGTACTAAAAAAACATTATAAAAATTACTAACCTATACATTTTTTATTTAACTAAATCACCTAATTTACTCACATAAATTATTTCTTAACAAGTAAAAGAGTCTAAGTTCAGGCGGAGCCGAACATTAAATACCCGGCGCAAGTATTCAATATAGTTTTTCACCGTTCCGAAAACTACCGCCACATGGTAAGCAGGGGTGGGGTTACCCCTATTTCAAACATCTTCGATAGAACGTTCAGTTAGATATAATGAGATAAACTTATATAGATATATGTGGGCGGCATCACGCCCATTTTCAAAAATTCAATAATAATGTTACTTTTTTTAAAGGGATTGTGTGGGTAAAATTTGCGTCCTTAAATTTCGAAATATCGAAGTTTCAAGCATTTCTGAAATTTACCGTTATGAAAAATTGGGCGTCATTTTAGTCCGATTTCGATGACTTTCAGCGTTTTGCCTTTATGTAGCAACCACAATAATCATACCGAGTTTGGTACACATTGATCGAACGGTTACCGAGATACACATAAGTGGGTCACGCCCATTTTCCAATATTTTATTATAAGCGTATTTTATGCTAAAGAATTATTATAAGCATCAATATTGAATGAATTAGCTCCAGTATTTACTGATTTATCGAAGCTTTCGTATTTCTCTGAATTACCGTTATATGGGATGTGGGCACGGGTATTATCAGATTTTTTAAATTTTCAGCCGTTTGGTATTTTCTGTGAAGGCCAACTGTCTCAAGTTTGGGAGAAATTGGCGAAGCGGTTCCCAAGGTATACACATGTAATCATAAGTGGGCGTGGATACGCCCATTTTCCAAAAATTTATAACATTCTTATTTTTCGCCTAAAAAGGATTGTAAATATCAATTTTGAGTGAATAAGCTTCAGTAGTTACTAAAATATCGCAGTTTTCGTATTTCTGAAAACTACCGTTGCATGGGAGGTAGGCGTGGTTATCGTCCGATTTTGCCTATTTTCAATAACATCCGTCCTACGCTCAAAAGAAGTACACATACATATTCGTTAAGATATCTCAATTTGTATTCGAGTTATCGTGTGCAAAGACGGACGGACGGACGGACAGACAGTCACCGCTTAATCGATTTCTCTTTTCATTCTGACCATTTATGTATAGATTTGTCTATATCTATTCCGATTCGTTTTGCCTGTTACAAACAACCGTTATGTGAACAAAGTTATAATACCCTTGTTCACAAGTGCGCTCGGGTATAAAAATACTTGACATCCGCATTCGCATCCGCATCCGCGGATGTTAGCGTTTAAACATCCGCATCCGCATTCGCATCCGCGGATGTCTAAAATTCCACATTCGCAACATCCCTGGTATGAACATATACACATTTCCCGGAGTAAGTTCCCTGAAGTGAATAGCCAAAAATGTCAGTACCAGTTCATTAACTATTAGAACTGCCTCAAAGCTCATGAAGTTTTCCGGGTACATATTTTATATAAATCAGTATTTTCGATCGGAAAACTCTGTTTCTCTTTAGGAGACTTCTAATAACCATACCCAGTTGTTTATTTAACAGTTTTTTAATATTAACAATTTTTATTTTGTATTAAAAAATGGTATAATATACAATTTGCTATTATTATGGGAAGTCTCGTGAAACAAAGTTTTCCGATCGAAAAATATTGAATTTCAAGACTTCTATACCCGTTCTACGAAAAAGTGGTATTTCCTTATATAAAATACATATGTACATTAGAGGTTTACGCCGATAGGCTTTGCGGCGGCGGCGTGGTTAACTTTAAAAATAATCGGCGGCGGCGGCGACGCCGTTGCGTCTGGAAACGCCGGCGCTACTGCCCATAAGGTAGATTCCAAAGAGCCATGAATCTACCAATCTTATCATGTCATCTCGTCAGCGTTAGGCATTCGCCATGCCAATTCAGATTATAATTCTATTTATTTCATTATTGATTTAGTTTTAAATTTAAATATAGTTACTTCTTACTTGAAATGAAATGTTGAGTGCCTGGCGCTGATGGATCCGTATGTACTATTTAAATTTAAAGAAATAAAAAAATTAAAAAGTTAAGTTATTTGAGTAATTTATGTCGCTATTACCCTGTGGGGAAAATCTCTAGTTCTGAACTGGGGCGCTTCTAGTATATTTAGACCCAGTACTGGTTCGCGATAAATCTCTTTTGCATGCAAGCAACTGGCGAATTTAACATGGCAACGTACTAGGAAGTGTCAATTGCCCCCCACTGCATCCCTTTTTCGATAGTTCCGAACTAGTCCTAAATTCTATAGTTCCGAACCAGTTCTGTAATCGACAGACGAAAGAAAAAAATATCATGATTTTTCATTTTTTTTGGTTCTTCCGTGTGTGCGATTTTAAGTTATTTTGGAAGAAATGTGTTTTCAATTTGAAATTAAATTTGTTTGAATGATTGTAAGAAATGTACGTTTACATACCTTTAGCTGTAGCTGAGATTGCAGAGGTTTGTTAACACAAATTTTAGTTTTGTATTACCAAGCTATGAAGAAGCATCTGCGAAGCGTAGAATAGAAGCATATTTGAACGAAAAACCCGCCGAACACATATCTATGTAAAGTAAACAAGCCCCCCGCTGCATCCCTTGTTCGATAGTTCCGAATTAGTTCTAAATTCGACAAATAAGATCTAGTTCGTTCTGCATACCTTTTTCTATAGTTCCGAACCATTTCTAAGTTCGTCACGTTAGATATCGATTTCTAGTGAAAAAACTGAAATAAATTAGTTTTTTAAAAGTACCACTTTTCTCCGATTTTGGACTGGTGGGTATTTAGTTCATATCGGACTAGTTCGTTTTTGGGAATAAAGACCTAGTACGGAACTAGAAATTTGATTCACTAGTCCGCGGTTTCCCTGCAGGGTAATAAATGTTTGTAATAATCTTATCTACCGTTATGTTAAATTACGGAGTTCTTACGATTTTTGCGGGTTATAGATTGAAAACTAGGGAGGTCTACAATTTTCCAACAGTTTTACCCATCAACTCCCAGCAGAACAGGCCTTTTTGGCCCACCGTTTAAAAATGGCTTACAGCTGGTTAAAATTTTCACTAAAATATTAAGCGCCAAATTTTCCTAAGGATAACCGAAAGTAATGAAAAATACTACTAATTTCCACCAAGAAGGGGAACTTTAACCCTGTGTAGAAAACATTGCGATGCGATGGAGCAAAACCTTCCTGGGGTTTGACCACCACTTGTGAATGCTAACATAATTTTCACACAGCCACCTAGTACTTGTATACGTCTGTGGGACCAGAACAAAATAACTTACTTATTTAAAATCTGTTTAAAGAATATACAACTCTTTATTAAAGAAACCATACACAAGAATATCAATTTGTTTTCGTTTTATCTCCGATAATTGAGGGGTTAGATGCAATAAGGGAACTTCTGTTAAAACTGCTTTCTGGACATTAGCGTTAAAGTTTTTGGTGTGTGATAACTTTCTTGTTCTGACAAACCCCCCCACCACTAGTGCATACATACTAGCGCAATTCGATATGCATTCGCCTACTACTGCAAGCTAACCACCTATGAATTTCAGCAGGGAATTTGTAACCGCAATCATACTCACACATACACATACCACATAAGTACCACATACCACATAAGTATATACACACAGACAGTTATTCTCATTTTATTTTTATTTTGTTTAACGCTTTATGAATGTACGTAAATACATGCGTACACACGCACACACCTACCTACACATACATACATACGCCCGTTAACAAATTGGAAATGATCACTCCCTCCGATCTAACCCTGTTGCATGGTGGCTTTCAAAAGGAGGTAAAACAAACTCCAGAATCAAACGCTGTCGTTGAAGTGCCCAGCGAGAAAGTCGAAATAGAAGACTGCTCGGATGACAGCGAGCAAAATGGCGTTACAGCTGTAGTACAGTTGACAGCCAAAAGATCAAAGGAGGCAGCAGAGGAGACTGAAACCAAAGTAGAGGTTACTGCAGAAAAAGTCGAGGTCGAAAGCGATGAAGAAGAGGAAGACGAAAGCGACAGCAGCGATGTGGCGGAAACGTTAGAAATAATTAAGAAGCCTAAATCAGCTGCTGATGTTGAAGAAAGCAAAAAGCAATCTTCGATTCCAAATTACAATCAAAACGATAACTCAATAGGAATAATAGTAACCACAACGCCGCCCACGCCGACAACTACGACTCCAACTGTGGCCGAAGTGACAGAGCAGCAGCAAGAGAAGGGCATGAAAGAAAGTCGGGTGATTGAGGTAGACGCCGAACAAAAAGAAATAGCTGAGAAAGGTAAAGGTGGCGGCGTGGTAGCACAAGTGACAAATGAAATCAAAAAGGAACAAGTAACCGTCGATAGTGATGAAGCAGAAATTAAAGTAATAATAACTCGCTTAAGCAGTTATCTTAAAAACATATATTATAAAAATGCATTTTTATTTCTTTATATTTTTAATACTTAAATCAAATTGAAAACGGATTGTACAATAGCCACAACAAAGCGAAAATGCAGTGGAACTGGCAGCACTGCAAGCGGAAATATCGACAACTCAGGTGGAAACGACGCAGACGCCAATCAAGGCAGCGGAACCTAAACAGCAGCCACAGGCTCAGCTAGAGGTACGTATGTATGACTATCACTAACCATTTCCTTCCAATGTTTTACTTAAGGCCGGGTGTCGCAAAGAACAGATACAGGAGCAGAACTCAGTACATTTGCAACAGCAACAGAAACACGAACAGAATTCACTACATTTGCAACAGCAACAGAATCATAATTCCGCGATTCTGAAACAAGAAACAGAACAAATACTTTGGACTTGTCTCTGTTGCTGGTGGCAAAAGAAATGTGAATATTTTACATTCGAGTTCATTTCTTTATTGTTGGTTTTATTTGTGCTTTGGGGATTATTGTTCCGAAAGTCAATAAAACAAAATTTCATCCATAAGGCGAAGAAAAAGTGACAGAATTCGTTAACTCGAACGAAATGCTATACCATGTTTCTGAAGTTGAGTGAAACAGAAAAAAGTTGACAGAATCAATATTTTGGATCCTGTTCCTTTTCTTTGCCACACAAGGCTTTTACAGACAGACATACATAAATATACAGATTTAACTATTTATGCACCTAGTCTTGAATTGGTCCGATTGTCTGTGCTGTTACCAGGTTAAAAATTACCTACTCTGTATCTAGTTATGATAGAAAATGCTATTGAAGCTCTGGTTAGAAAGATACTCTTCTGCAGCAAGTCTTTGCAGGACTCATCAAATATTAAATCTGGACGTTTCGACTTTATTGCAACGCTGTAAGGTGTCTTTTTTAAGAACTGTCGACGGATCTTTTCTGGATCGAACGCCAACGTTAGGTTAGATAAAGCAGGGCCAGCCATATGGCCACACATAAACATCATACGTCGGTAGTGTTACCACATTTGTGCACCACCCTTGAACTCCTCACGAAGTTTGGCAGTGTTGAAGGCCCCTGTCGTTTTTTTTTTACAAACTGTAATACACAACTAGGCTCTGTATCAATCGCCGACCGCAGGACCTGTAGCTTATCTTCGCCGAACAACATGACTTTTTCTTGTCGAACGCTTAGCAGAGTAAGTCCTTCACTGTTTATATTTGAGAGTTTTACATTCCCTGCGCTTATCTTCCTCTACAAGATTTAGCTTTAAAGCGTGCGCCGATAGCAGACTGGGTGCCGTCAGCTGTGCTCCCAAAACGGCCTAGAAGCCTTCGCCTTCAGGGATTCTAGGAGGATAGTGAGTTTACTATCATCAGACTGAAACATCATTTTTGTAAATTCTTTGCCCTGCGTGTGGTTCTACGCAATGTCAGCTTACTAATAGCGCTCTTACACGATATGTATTTGCATATGTAAATGCTACTTTTCTGGTACGTTCCAATATATGGTACATACGAGTAGATACAAAAAAGTAGCATTTACATATGCAAATACATAGCGTGTAAGAGCGCTGTAATACGAGACCGAACTTAACAGTTATTGATGAAAATTGCCATCGAAAAATTCACTATGAACGAAATTTTTGGCGTTGCATTATGCGACGAACTGCCAAAAAACTGAATAAGGAAATATAAAACAAAACAAAATCTCACATCAGGCTTAAGTTGACGTGTTGAGTAATCACTGATAATTTATTGCGGTAAGTTAAGTCTAGATTAATTCACCGTTTATAATGACAGAGACTTGTTGTGCACAGTAGTGAGTTTTTGAGGTCATTATGAGCCCCTATCGAGGTGACTTAGTCCATTACAGCAGGCTTCTAGGTATTAAGAAAAGGTCTTGTAATCTCCATTACCCCTTTTTCAGATCCCCTTCTATCCTTCTGACTACGTCAGCAGAGTACTTATAGGCATGCTACGACTTAGAAAATGGGCCGTATGCATAAAAACTAAGCAATTGCCTTTTCTTAACATTTCATACCTTTCACTTAAATTTATTTGAACAAATTGAGCAAAAGGGCTGACATTTTAAGAAAACGCATTTGCTAAGCTTTTACGCATACGGCCCAATATGTCTGGCTTATGAAGTTATCCTTTGAATACAAATAGATTTTTTTGCTCTCTTTTCGTAGACATCATTCCTAAATCTTACACTTCTGAGACCTGCACAATATTAACTCTAGTTAGTACCTTATATAATCTAGCAGTCTCTTTTTACGAACTACTCATAAACTACTAAAAGAAATTTTTTTTACAAATTATCTTAGGATTCCCCTGCAGTGGGTTTCACCTAGTGTACCCTAGTTCTTCCTTAGAGGAACGTTCTAACGTTTGCTTAAAATGGTTGGTCCGTAGTGTTATAAATTGGACTTTGGCAACTTTTGATTGTCACACTTTGGCAATTTTTTTTAGAATTTCTACAATTTGTTTGTGCTAAGTTAATGAATTTTAAATAATCATTAAAACAGGTAAATTCGAATGACACCATTAAGGATATCAAATCCGATATTAGCTCAAACATAGAACAGGAAAATATTGCTACCCTTAAGCGCCAGCAAAAAGAGTTGCTAGAAAAGCAACAAGAATTGGCTCAACAAATACGCCAGCAACAACTGGTTGCTCAACAATTGGCATGCGAAAACCGTTTGCATCAACAACAATTAGAACAACAGAAACAGCAACAACAGTCACAGCAAGAAATACCAAGAATACAAACTCCATACAAACACCAACCAACACTAACACCCTACCAGCCACAAGAAAATATTTCGAAATATTCGACAATCGAGGAAACGAAGGACGAACACGGTTTCACACGCAAAACGGAAACTTACGAGTCCAAGGTACATGACTTTTGACCACAGTATTTACATACTGGTGTATATAAATATATATGTAATATGTAAGTACATGGGGAGATTTTTTTTAATGTAAATTTTATTAGAAATGTTAAAATATAGCTATTAAAAATGTATAATAATTTACATCTTTCATTTTTCTCTTTTTAACCGACTTCAAAAAAGGGGGGAGGTTATCCATTCATCGGAATATTTTTTTTATGTATGTTACCGCATTACTTTGGACCACATTAACCGATTTCGATATCCCTTTTTCTGGTGCCTCAGCAGAGGTCCCATACTAATTTGTTTTAGATCCGATAATTGGATCATGAAGAAATTAACGGTACTTCTAAATTTTTATATGAGAATTGAAGTCGGTTGTGTTTTTTGCTTAAAAATTACTTGTTATTGTAACTATTGAGTAGTACCGAGCTCTACAGAGAAATTTATAATGCATAAAGTTGATAATGAACTTACTGAAGAGTTAAAATACAAATTGGTTAGTTGCCTTAATTTCATGCAAATTTTAAAATGCGACTTCGTCTTTACACCAAAATTTTATTTTTTTCATTATTTTTAGTCGACTTCAAAAAAAGGAGTATCTATTCGTTGGAATATTTTTTTTAATGTACATATGTTACCGCATAACCGATTTCGATAATTCCTTTTTAAAGGAAAGGTTGCACCTCAGAGGTGGTGCCATCCTAATTAGGTTCAGATCCGATTATTGGATCAGAAAGAAATTAACGGTAGACTGAAAAAAAAAATGGAATTTTTTTATTTGAGTACCGTTTAAAAATGTTCGTATTTAAATCAAGTGAAAAGTCCTAAAAAAATGGATTTTTCCATATACATACACTACGTATAATGGAAATATTCAATTCAAATACGCCCGTGTTAAAATGAAGCATTTTTCACTGCACTAGTCAGGAAAAATACTGGTTTACAACTAGAATTTCCTGACAGAAACCGAATTAGTTCGAAAATGAACAGACTTGTACCAAGTACAAAACTACATATTTATTCATGCCCTCTTTTATTTGACTTCAACAGTTTAATACAATAAAGTACACAAAATATT